TCTCTCCACGCTCAGGTGCGAGCGAGATGAGGGAAAGGACCATTTTCACTGCCCAAGCTTGTGCTCTCTACAATCAGAGCTTTGCCGAAAAGCCACCAAGCCTCAAAAGATTTAAAAGGACAGATTCCCTCTCACTCCACATCTCAGTGTTTTATCCACCCCCGTTTCCCTCACACGCAAACCAGAGATTGCTCCTTCCTGCCATGTAAAGACGAGCACGGGCAGTCCACCCACGTAACTGTGTCACCACCAGTGGTTTTGCCTTCAAGGTCTGAGCAACATTTCTACTGATTCACCAAACCCCCACAGAGCAGACTATTCTTAGAGTTGGTTTCCTTCCGTCTACTACATCTAACATCTCAAACAAACATCACCTTTAATTTATCGTCAGACAAGGCTACATGGGGGCAGCTTTTTCAGGGACTAGAGGAGCAACTCCTGGCAATTGAAAGCTGTGAAGCTTCATCTGTCATCGCCAGCATGTTACTCCACAGCACTGAAGGCTCTGGACCAGAGTTGTGGTTGTGATTTCCTATATTCCCTTTACATCGCTTTTCCAGGCGATCACAGACCTACTCGCGGTGGCGCCTCTCCTCCCCAAGATTGCAGCAGGAGGAGCTGCCACAGCACGGCTCTCTCTTTGCAATTCATGAGCTGGCTTTGACAACTCCCTTGCAATCACAGACAATATGCTAAAATATTCTAATGGCCCTATTACTGTTTAATCCATTCTGTCCAACAGCAAAGTTGGATTTCATAAATCAAAAGCAAACAGCTAGCCTATTTCACCTAAATACTTCCTTCCTTTTGATGAAAGCCCTGCCAGGTTCATAAGCCTCCTCTGCTGACCTGACAATAAAGGAGAAGCAGTCATAGCTATGTTCTTCCGACTGAATTTGCATTGCCAGAGTATGCAGATCTCAGGAACTTCTGAAGAGATTCTCCTAAATAACACGAGGAGTTGGGGATTAAACTGTAATATTATCATTTTCTCTCTCCCTTGTCTCAGGTTTCATATCCTCAGCAACAGAGCTGGGATTACAGCCCGAGCTCAGGATCTGGTACCGGACAGCCGACAGCATTTCCTCTCAGACAGATTAGATTTTTGCATCAGGGGATTTCTCTGGGGCCTGTATCCTTTGCTGTGGGAAATCATAACACCCTATGCACACTCTTCACTTGCCGTAATAGTGTGCAGCAAACACACCCGGCTTCCCAACAGTCCCCTCTTAGTACTCAGGTATCCCATTGTTCAAAAAAGGTTAAGGTTGGACATCAGATGAGGGGTAGCAGTTTTAAACTGAAAGAGGAGAGATTTAGATGAGAGATTAGGAAGAAATTCTTGCCTGTGAGGGTGGTGAGCCCCTGGCGCACTTTGCCCTGAGAAGCTGTGGCTGCCCCATCCCTGGAGGTGTTCAAGGTTGGACGGGGCTTGGAGCAACCTGGGCTGGTGGGAGGTGTCCCTGCCCATGGCAGGGGGGTTGGAACAAGATGATCTTTTAAGGTCCGTTCCAACCCAAACCATTCTATGATTCTGTGATTCTATTAGAGCTTTGACCACGTGGGAGAAGGGAAAACAAAATAGCCTCAAACCAGACAATTTCTTGATGTCAAAAGAGAATTTTCTTATGCTCAGTATACAAAAGAATGATGGCAGAAAACAAGGAGGGTCCTTCTTTCTGCAACAGCCCTTCTTTTCGTCTATTTAAGCAGGACGGGCAGAAGCTCAGGCTGGTCAATGCTGGCCCACACACCCCACAGTGACATTGCACAAGTAGTGACCTCCACGTAGCTAAAATCTCCTGGTCAGTATTTATTTGCTACCCATGGGGAACACAGCAGCAGGCAGGATCCATCCTCAGACCCTGCTCTTGCAAGCTGCCACCACGCCATTTCCCCTCGGCCACACAGACGCTGCGGTACGGCAGGAGGGATCTGGTTT